TCGAACGTGGCAACCAGAAGCGCCCCCCTTCCCCTCCTATACGAGAGGGTCCATGTAATTTTATTGGTGGCGCGAACACTGAGGAAGCAGCGGAGCTCCTTTCTGTCCTCATCACATTTCTTTTCTCTCTCAACCCCTTATAATATTCGTGACTATGCTGTGTTTAGCCCTCCTCATCATCGCTTACCTTCCCACCCCCTTGTCATCATATGCTTTACGTGGCTCCGTTATGCTATATCTTCTCCTTTCCTTTTTTCCGTCCTCTTCAACACGATTTTCTTTTTCCACCCCATTACTATTCTAAACTACAGAAGGCTACAAATAGTCGCTGTGAGAACATCCGACGAGGAGGGTATAACCTCCATGGGACAACACAGATTAGTTTCATGTGAGAGCAACGTATCCGTACATTTACGCGAATAGTTCTTGCGCAGCCTCTAGCGAAACTGTGACTTCATCTCTTATGCCCTGTGTTGTGACACCGGGTCTCACGAGTCTCATTTTGGTAGCGAGCCCCGTCCTAGGACCCATCGTCGAACAAGTCAGATGAGGCGCTCGTAAGAATGACAACGATTTATTTACACGGTTAGTAATTGAGAATTTGAAATGAGGTGATCAAGGGATCAAGTAGAACTCAAGAAGTCGAACTGAAAATATACAAGAGCTCCGCTTATATAGCGCCGCGTTGCCAACCCTGGGCGCATTGTCCGCGGCTTCAGCCAATACGGCGCTCGAATTCGTGCCGAGCCTGCCTGGTGAATTTGCCGCAGATATATGTCACTATAGCGAGTAGCGCGCCGTCGCGGCTGCACAGGACCGAATGTTTACCATAGCGATGGTTTACAAACATTTCTTTATTTATACTTATACCTACAAGCGCCCTCTGGGGGCATTGTTGTAGGGGGGTTTACAAATTCAAAGTACATTTAAATCAGTGGAGACAAGTTGAAATGCACGGCACTAAAACAATAAAAACAAATCAAAAATACCTAAATCACAGCATACAATATCATTGTGTGACCACATACTTCTTTAAAACGGAAGGAAACGCCTTGGAAGGGGCGGTCACAATGTTTTTTGGAAGACTGTTCCATTCGTGTATAGTTTTAGGAAAAAAAAAGTATTTGCATACGTTGATGTTCGGCACATATATCCACACACTTTCAAAGAATGGTCCCGTCGTGATATCACACCATCGTCATTACTTGCGCTGTAAGCACCATGCATCTGCTTCTTCAACGAAACACGAGCATTTGTCACAGCCATGATGAGACTAACAGTGCTGCACTTTAGGATTCCGAAGCTTCCATCAGCGCGATCAAAACAAGGATATCGAAAGGAATACACGCGTATGATTTTCGCAACGTCAAAATTGTGAAAATTTGTCGAGCAACAACGTCGTTCAGGCGGCACCGGTGAAGTGCAGGAGAAGTTAGCGAAGACTGTAGCCGTAACTGCATATTTCATTGCTATAACCATTTCGCTTCGCTGGTCGAGCTCGAGCGTATTGGCGGCATGCGGTGTTTTGTAATATTCACTGTAATTGGGCTACATGCAATGCACAAGAAAAACCATGTTTTTTTTTAAATGTGAAGCATTTCTTAGCGAACTTCGGCGACTTTGAGCGTATCTATCTGTCTAGCCACCTACGATTTTTAGCTCTCCTGGCCATTTCGATAATGATATCAATACCAAACTTGGTATAGCATAACATGACTGTATGAAGAACATATTTGGCTAGTCATAACATCAAAATTATGACATCTATGTCATGAATGTGGTGATTTACATTTCATGGTCACGCAGATCTTGCGGTGATTTCGTTCACATGGCATGTTGCAAACTGGTATGGTGTGACACGATTGCATGGCGAACACAAGCGACAGACCCTAACACGGAAATCATGACATGCGTGTCGTGTAACAACATGACCACATGCCACGGTTATGATGCGGTACAATCAAAGTGATACATACAATCAAAGTGACTTACGAGCGTGAAAAGAACATTAACGCACGACGGGACGGCAAGTGCAACTCGCTGCTCGTAAGCTAGCAGCTGATCGTTCATCGTCGCTGTCACTCTCTCACCGCGTTGACAACCATCTATTTCCAGTGAAAAATCCTCGACGTCACGACGGTTTCCTTGAACATCACTGCTTAAAGTAATCTGAGGAGTTCTCTCGGCCGAACGGCTTCGATAGCACCAACAACGCGTCATTGCACAACCCCAACACGGCGTCACTCACCACGTTTTTCTGGGGGTGCGGAAAACATTTCGCTCCGATAACAGGCAAGAAAGGATTCTCTTGAAGTGTGCTGCCGTCTATCAACGAACGTAAAAAACAAGCGGCGCACTGCGCAGCGTAGGCCAAGGTTTGGAAGCGCAAATAGTGAGCCTGTGCTACTTTCCGCTTGCAATGAATGTTGTAGGATTCATGCACTACAAAATCACTTACATATTCTATACGCATGTAAAACAGGGTGAGTTTCAACTGCAAAGGTTAGACAATAATACTTAACTATCCAACGTGGTTGCAGAAAATCTCGCGAAGCTGATATGTGTACTCTGCGGGCTATAATCTAAAGCACGAGTTGCCACGTATTTTCACGAAAACTTCGTCTCTCGCAAGAACGAATCAGATTTATCGTGTCACTGACGGACCAGTATATTCACTGATGCATGCAACATACAAAGGGATTTGTGTTAAATATATGATGAAGAGATGTCAAGTCAAAATTCATAGACGGAATAGACCCACGCTGTCCGCGCTGTTGTCATACGAAGTGCATCCGACGGACGCACGCATGGATGGGTGGACTGACAGACGCATGGTCGGACGCACAGATGGACGTATGGACAGGCGCATGGACAGACGGATGGACAGACGGATGGACGGACGCACAGAAGAACGCAGAGACGGACGCATTGGTGAATGGAAGGACGGATGGATGGACGGATAGATGGATGGATGGAGAGGACGCACGGATGAACGTAGGGATCCGTGCGTGGACGGACGGTCGGACGGATGGGCGAAAGCATGGGCGGAGTGACGGACGCTTCACCCCACTCATCATCATTCACACCATGGTTATGCTGTGTTCTCTTTTTTTATACCTACATCGGAAGCTGAAATGTTTTCGCAATGCTCGTGGTTTTTGTCATCATATGTTTCGTACCCATATCCAACATCGCACATATTGCAGCTCCATTTTGACATTTTCGCAACACGTTATAACGATAAGGCAGGGAAAGGGGCCACGCATAGTTTCTAAGCTTGAAAATTTAAATAAGCGAGCTCAAAGTTGTCTTTTATTTGTTAAAAGTCGTCACAGGAATTCTTGCGCGTACGCAAACGCTATATATTGCATATGTGGTACATAGCGTTTTCTCAATTCCTAGACTTACCTGCTTATCCTTGGGAGAAAGGTCACATGCAAGCCGCTCGACATTGCTTGTTCTGAAAAGCCAGCCATGGGTCAGAAAGTACTGTCCAACATCTATGATCTTGCGAGTATTCTTGTAACGTTGCACGAACCTGCAAGTAAAGAATAATAAGCCAAAAAAAAAGATTGATTGATATGTGGGGTTTAACGTCCCAAAACCACTATATGATTATGAGAGACGCCGTAGTGGAGGGCTCCGGAAATTTAGACCACCTGGGGTTCTTTAACGTGCACCCAAATCTGAGCACACGGGCCTACAACATTTCCGCCTCCATCGGAAATGCAGCCGCCGCAGCCGGGATTTGAACCCGCGCCCTGCGGGTCAGCAGCCGAGTACCTTAGCCACTAGACCACCGTGGCGGGGCCCAAAAAAAAGACAGGAAGTCGGAGTAATTATGATGGATGATCGGCTGGAAACGGTTGACAGTGTACTTGTTTGAAGAACAAGTGCAGTGCTCCAAGATTTATACAAACTATAGTCATGCAATCCCTCGTAGTCTTGATAAACACCCCACACTATAGTGCGACATGCCTCGTGTGCAGCTCTAAATGTTAGATTGAGAAATGGTTAAATTGTATGTAAGGGTTAGGGCGTGAGTGGAGGACCTTAAGAGCCACAGTGCACTTGATTCACTCACCTTTTCCCACCATAGTTACGCGCGTTACCTTATAAATGAGCCCTGAAACACTTTCATGAGTAATCATGGAATTAATTCACTGGAAAAACGTATTGCCTCACAAATTCAACGCCGCAAAAATCTTAAGAATTTGTCCAGTACAAGCGGAGTTGCAAAGATTTGTCACACGCTGCATACGCATTCTCCCTTCTTTCGTTCCGACAAAAGCGCTGGAAGCTAAGCAGGGAGGGATGGGAAGGGGCAAACCAAAAATGTCACGCGGACCTCGTGACCTTGAGCACTTTTTTCTCTTTTTTTTCTTCCTTCGAATACGCGGTTTTTTCAGTGCGATGGCGCGTGCACACGTGGACAAGTGACGGCTTCTCGCGGCTATCTCTGTAACAACCAAGCACGCCATGTTCAAATCAGCCAATGGCTGATAGATGGGCAATCTACGTGTGATCTTTGAGCGTCTTGCGTCATTTTTCGGGGGAAGAGAAAGCAATTTTCAGCTGACTGATAATTTATTGTGAATTCCAGGCCAGCTTGCCGCACTATAACATTTGGCTCGCGTGTTCTCGGAAGCCTCTACTACCGATCGGCAGCGTTTTCTGACCATGCTCAAAAAGTATTGGAGGGCCCCTTTAGGCACAGCATTACTAGGTCAGGTATCACAAGATGCACTTAGAAACAATGATCCCGTTGGAAGCTGAAAGAAAGAGTGGTCATCAAGCCGATCCTGCTTTCGTGTTCCTACTCTGAACACATGACCCCACTTAAAATTCTTGACAGTAGTTTTGCAGACTAGAGTAATTAATATAGTAAATCGTGCAAGAGAGTGTGGTAAGTGATGCCAACTTTGGCTCTCTTCCAATGAGCATCAAGCCCAGGTGTGCGGCACGTGCGAGTAGATAACGAAAGCAATAGAGGTTCATGTTGTGCCACAAATGGCTGCTGCTGACGACGAACTTTGAGTAGTAGGTGACATTTGGCAGTGGGTGTTGCAAGATGGCTTTTTGGATAGCGTCAGCCATGTCAGCCATCTTGTATTGTTGTTGGGAGCCGCTCGCACAGTGGTACACTTTCACACCAGTCGTCCTGCGATGGGACACCGTTATGAAGACCGTATGGCGAGGTTCGTACGAGAAGCAAAATAGGGTTAACAACACTCTTGCCCTCTCTCCGCGTAAACGCGTATGAAACTAGTGCGTAACACACCGATGTCCCGGTTGTTTTATTGCAAGTCTGAGAGAGCTCCATTATTGTTGCGCGTGAGCCTAGCCACATAAATTTGTCACACATTTCGCGGGATATACGTCAAAAAAAAAAAAAATGTCGCCAGGCAGCATGTACGTTGCCATAAAAAATTGGCTCGCTCGCTTTGGAATGCCCTTTGTGACGACACGAAAGATATTGATATGGATATGTAGGGTTGTTACACCCAGTCCCGTTAATGAGGGAGGCGATCACCGGGCTAATTCCAAGGGCCGAAGTATCGGCCCCCCCGAACCGCACCCCACGAAAGCGTGGACAATTTAGACATGTGGTCTTTTTTTGGCGCGCCAGCGGACGCCGGCTGTGGCCCAAAGAACAAGTCAGAGCCGAGAGTTGATAAACAAACAGAATTATATTCTCAACAATGGCAGATCGAAAACCATACACAAAAATGCACACTCCACAATAGTTACATACAATACGTCACCCAATCAAACAACGTACTACACAGTACAATCAGCCAACTCAAAACAACGGACACAGACAACGATACGCTCTACAATGCCAGTCGCATGCATTGAACAACCAAGACACTTAAAGACTAAAGAGACAGAAAACCATCCAGTCCAAAGTTCTTGGAACAAAAGTCGGATGATACTCTTCGAGAATCAACTACTCAAAGTCCAGCGTTGTTGTCGTTCCGCGCCCTCGAAGTTTCTCTTCCAGGAAATCTCACGTCTTCAATTGGCCACTCTCCAAGCTTCAAACTTCTTCGCCCGAACACGTCGGCTTCACACACGCAGCTGTCACCACGCGTCTTCGCTCGATAGCGGTAAACACACTCTCTTGCCTGTAGCTCGGGCCTTCACCCCTCAGGTGGAAATCCTCTTCATCTCCTGCTTCGTCCCTACGGACAAAACCTTCGCCGACTACACGGCGGAATCCCTTCGCACTCTGGCGTTAACTTCCGTCTTCTCCTGATCTCTCATCTCGGCTGCTCGGTTAAATACCTTGCGCGCGACATTCCAGAAGGTTCTCGTCATTTCGTCGGCGCGATACGCAGCGAAGGCTGGGAAGAGGGCGAGACGGTTGGAATGCCCTCCGCGGCCGATGACTCAACTCGGTATGACCACGCCCCTTTCGTTCTAGAACTTTCGCGGGCTATCTCGGCCGCGATGTGGGGTGAGGAGGTTCGTCGGCTTAACGTCCCAAAACCACCATATGGTTATGAGAGACGCCGTAGTGGAGGGCTCCGGAAATTTGGACCACCTGAATGACACGAAAGACACTTGGGCATAAAGCGATTATTAATAATATTGCATAGTTGATTTTAGCTAATTAGGTGATTAAGCACAATAATCTACCCTAATGAATGCCACTTCTCGGCCGACCACATGTCATTGGTTTCATTCAGTGGCAAGCCGGAGGGTGGCACACCGGGCCCGTTACTCCTCCCCCCAAGGAGGAGCAGAGAGGAAAAAACTTGATTCCGAAAATCCGTCGAGTTGGTGGGGTAGGCCAGTGGTCCTGCCTAGGTTACAGCAGGGAGTACTTGAATCCTGGCGGCTTCCTAGGCCAGCTGGACAGCCCATATCTGATCTTCGAGGACAGGGCTGAGCATTGCGGCTTCCCAGCGCGTGCGAAAGCTGTCACTAAGGCCCGCATACTCGTTATGGGCACTAATTCCTTCACATTGCCATAACATATGTTCACAAGTGGCTTTGGAGTCTCAACACTTGCACCTGTCCGTTTTGTGGATGTCGGAATATATGTGTGAGAGTGCGGGATTCGGATACGTCCTAGTTGGTAACTCCCGCCATTCGACAGAAGTATTTAGTAGTTTCGCCATAGCATACAGAGCGATAAATGACCTTAGAAGTGTGGCAGCTTGGGCGCTCGTGTCCGTGTCATTCTTGTCGCTGTGTCGTCGTTTTGTTCTCGCGCTATAACTATCGCCATGGGAAATGACCATTTAAAAAAATGCCACCACCTCCTTCTGAAAAAAAAATTCTGCCTGTGCTCTGGTTTCATTCATTGCCATTAACTTAAAAATTTATTGGTTCTCAGTTTGTGCGTGAAACACCCTGTATATGCCTACTTTGGCGTAGCATACGTTGTACCAGTCAGTGGATGTGACCTTAGACATATATTATTTGTTTACATCCCGATTCTTGTGTTACTACTGTCATACGCATGTGTGATGACGGAGCACGATACTGTTA